GAGAGAGAGAGAGAGAGAGAGAGAGAGAGAGAGAAAGAGAGAGAGACAGTGAGATTATGAGTACCATGTGCTTGCAGGATTCCATAGAACAAAGGATGACATTGGATCCCCGAGACCTGGGGATCAGATTGTTTTGTAAATCCTGATATGAGTCCTGGGAACTGAACCCAAATCCTATGTAAGAACAGCAAGTGTCCTTAACCACTGAGCTCTCTGTCCAGCCCCATACTTTTTAAAAACCCCTTTGAAAGAAAACAATCAGTACATGTGGACTTCATCGGATTCATTTTCTGAGATTTTTTAAAAAATTGTGTAAGATTTCAAAATTCATGTTAGCAAAATGAGTTTTTTTTCCTGTTGATTCTAATATTCTGAGTGGGTATGAGCACAACCTAATTAGTTGCCGCCTATCAGGGTCCATAAGATACCAGTATGACCATGTCCTTTGTAGCACTGTTTGCAACAGTGTGATGCTGATGGCCTTGAAAGATGATCAGTTAAAGAAAAGATGCTTTAGAAGTCATAGTGTCCCACTTTTTTTTCTTTCCTGAGACAGGGTTTCTCTGTAGCTTTGGAGCCTGTCCTGGCACTCGCTCTGGAGACCAGGCTGGTCTCGAACTCACAATGGTCCATCCACCTGCCTCTGCTGGGATTAAAGACTTGTGCCGCCACCACTGAGTGTCCCACCTTTAAATAGCTGGAGAGTCTACATTATGTGACAAAGATGGATCCTGGGAAATCAAGTAAAACAAGTCATACACAAAAGTCATGACTGATTCACGTGCTGAGGGCCTTGGAACCAAGTTCTTAACCTGAAAATTCAGCAGGGTGAAGACAGAGGCAGAAACTCTCTCCCTAAATCCCCATCTCATCAGCTAAGTAGACAGGAGAACCATTCAACACTGGCTCAGGAAAACAGAACCTGCCTTGCTCTTATCAATAGTCTTGTGTGTTTCAGACATGAAATCGTCAATATCAACCTGAAAAACAAGCCCGAGTGGTTCCTCAAGAAGAATCCCACTGGGCTGGTACCAGTTCTGGAGGACAGTAAGGGTCGCTTGATCTCCGAATCTGTCATCATTTGTGAGTACCTGGATGAGGCCTACCCTGACAAGAAGCTGTTCCCAGATGACCCTTATGAGAAAGCTCGGCAGAAGATGACCTTAGAGTCATTCTCCAAGGTGTGTGTAAGAAATTCCATCTCGGGTTTGATTTAGGCTAAGTCAGCAGGGGACACTGACAGAGGACTCTGCTCCTCGCTGTGCCTAGGCCCTCATGCTCTGCTCTCTGCTTCTCTTTCCCTCTTGGCTTCTCCTACTCCACCCTGAGGAGTTTTCCCCAGTCTTGCCACGCGTCCCCACTTCTCTCTCAGCTTTTGCCAGGAGTCTTCTTCCTTTTACGTGGTTTAGGCGCTTTGATGTACATGCTTGGAACTGCAGCCTTCTAGAAACAAGTTCAGGCTGCTCAGAACTGTAGCTGTGTTCTGGATATGCCTATCCTCACCATGGCTGTTGGCCCTCTGTGTTCATAACTGCCTGCCTTCTTGCCCTGTTGCTGTGCCAATGTGAGCTTCATGAGGAGAGGGCTGTGTGTCCATCACTGATCAGTTAGTGCCTGGCTGTGTGGCTTGCTTGGAAAATGTTCAGATTGTGCTTTGGAGAATATTTCTTGTTTTACCTCTGGTGTGTTAGGTCACTTGCAAACGGTCTAGCAGGAAGTGCCCAGAGCTGACTGATACATGGTGCCTACCTAGTGTGTTAGCTCTTAATTGCCATGGCCGGTCTTTAGCAGTGACAATGCACTGAGGTTTCTGGGGAAGAATGCACTTTCATCTTATTTATGGTCAGAGTGGATTAATTCAAATTAGTATTAGCAGAGCTGACCAACATTGATGGGATTTCATGAGACTCTGGGTGGCTTTCTTCATCTTGAAGAGCTAAATATCAAACTCCCCTCCCCAGCCACACTCATTGACAGGCTGGACACCACACCCATCAAGTCTTCAGGAAATTAAGCCCCTTTGAACAGTCTTTTGCAGTTCTAAGGCAGAACTCAGAAAACAGCTTGTCCCCTGCTCCCTATGCAGCTGGGGCTAAGGCTGTGGCCTAGGCCCTTCCTGTTAGATGGTCACAGTAGCCTTCAACTGTCATAAGGGCTGTGTGAAGAAACAGGCCTTGTGTGGATGGCTGGTGCCAGCAAAACAGGTGAAAGAGATTCTAGTTGTGGGGTGGTGGTGGCTGCAGGATTGAATTCTAGGGGAGCAGTGGTGTTTAGTTGTCCCACTGTGCACAACTGTGTGTACAAATTCCCATTAGTGTCCCTTAGTCCTGGCAGCAGCTGATACCTCATGGTTAGTCTATTTCTCAATGTGGTATTAGAAAGTGTCCATAGTTCCAGGCATGTTTGTCCAGTTCTATGCCAATTGGTGTCTACATTTCTGGCTCAAATTTGCCAAAATGTGTTCCATTATCTGCATATTACAAACTTTGCACAATCTCAAATCCAAGTCCACAACAAGATTTGTAAGATCAGGCTATGGTTTCTGTAAACACTGGGACTTGGTCCACACTTGTCTCTACAGCACTCTAGTGAAGTACCAGGACTAGGAGGGCTAATGTATGTTTGTATGTGTGTCTTTGGGGTCCAGGACTGAAATACTTGTTTTTTGTGTGTGTGTGTGTGTGTGTGTGTGTGTGTGTGTGTGTGTGTGTGTGTGTGTGTTGGGGGCGTGCACTAGCCTCAAACTGATAAAAAATCATTTCCTGCCCAGGTGCCCCCTTTGGTTACAAGGTTTATTAGGGGGAACAAGGAAGACCGCTCTGCCCTAAAGGAAGAATTGAGGAAAGAATTCTACAAGCTGGAGGAGGTACTCGCTCTCTTTGCTTTCACCACAATAGATGATAATCCCCGTCTACATTTCTTTTCTTTCCCTCCTCCCTTCATAGGGTCCCTCTCCAAATCACTTTCTATTAGAAATAGCACCAAATAAAAACAAATCACAATAGATTTCTGTAAGCAGGTCTACTCTTAATATAAATCAAAACACCTAAATGTACTGTCATGACTTGTTTTTATTTTTACTTAGTATTTTGAGACAGGTGTCACTGTATCCCAGGCTAGCCTCAAACCCACTTCAGCCTATACTGGCCTTAAATTCATGATCCCCCTGCCTCAGCCACCTGAGTATCCTGTTTTACAGGCGTGCATCACCACACATGGTTTAGAGGCTTGAGGTATTCAGTACATCAGCATTAAAATAACAATGAAAAATTATTTCCCATATTTCCACAGTAAGTCACTAGTTTCCATTTTTCCATACTTGTTTTCAGTATATGTTCATATATTCAAAGTAATCATTGTCATCAGACAACCGGTGCCACTGTATTGCTTTTCCCACCTGAGGATGTCATAAACATTTTCCAGAAGAAGTCTGCCAGGAATGCAGACACGTCAGGAAGCCCAGGTTTCTTTCCTTTTGGGGCCTTGAGATAAAAGTTTCTTCATGGTCTTGAGACACTTGTTCACACTTGGCCACAGGTTTTACTGAGGGGACACATCCTAGCATTTATCCCTGAGCCTGGTGTTTGTTCTAGTTTTTTTTTTTTACCCCTGAAGTTTTTTTCTCCAATTTGCTATTTTTAAGACTTTATTTTTATTACTTTTGATTATGTGTATGTGGGTGCAGGTAGGTGCAGCCATACCTGTTAATTCCCTGGATCAAGAGTTATGGGCCAGTGTGAGCCACCTGACATGGGTGCTGGCAACCAAACTTCCAATCTGTAGAAAATCCATCTAGTAACTGGTAACTTCTGAGCCATCTCTGCAACCCTAATCTAATTGTTTCCTTGTGAGTACTGAATGTTTCTCGTATCTGCTACATCTATAGAAATGTTCACAGAACCCTTTTCCTCTAACCTGATACTTGTGGTCTGTAAGCACCCAGGTTTACTGACCTTGCCTGATATAGCCTTAAGGAACTAAACCAGGCCTTGGAGGGTCCACAGCAAAACTTAAGCTTTGGCAATTTGTATTGATCAATCAGACTTTTCATATCTTTATAAGGAACAGAATATATGGCAACTGCTGGGACTAATTCAGCTGTAGTTGCTAGGATACAATGATGTTTGCAAGTTACACAAATAAATGTCTTAAAGAGCTTTTGTCCTGTGAAGTGTCCACACTAGCTTCCTTGACTTGGGAGGGAACACACAGAGAAACACAAAGCAGCCTGGACACTTCCCTGCCTGAGGGAGTGCCGTGGTCTCTCAGTGCCCAGGAGCTAGGAGGGACTCTGACCCAAAACACCCATGCCTCATGCCAGGCTAGCTCCATGGTTTTCCGAAGTTGTCTTACAGGGGATGGCATCCTGCTCAGTGGACTGTCATATATGTTATAGACTATTCGCTTCATAAAGGATTTCTCTCAATGTGCTCACGGGTTTGACCTACAAGTCACTATTCTGATGTCTTTCTTTGGGTCTGATATCATGGTATTCTAATCTCCTAAAGTGGGCTGGGTAACTTATTTGTGTAATCCCTAAAACAATTTAACAGGGCATTTTCATATGTGCCCACTGTGCTGTGCAGTCCATTTCTTTACTGGTAATTCATTGTGGGGTTTTATGTTTGCTCTTAAATCAGTTTTTGCTAGTTTGTGGTTTTCTGTGGAAGCTAGAAAGATTCAGTCCTCTTTCTTCAGGTTCTTATTTTAGTGGTGAATAGACAAATAAAGAGACATGAACAGTTCATTTATGCTGTGTAACATTACACCGACCCTGAGGACGATTAAGGAGGTCATTCATAATGGGTGAATTGGCTTGGTTCTGGTCTTCAAAAATTCTTTTCCTGTTTCATATATGCAAATAATGAATTTTAGTCATATGCACCCTACTTCCTTCTAACAGGGACAGATTTTTTTTTTAAGATTTATTCATTTATTATGTATACAATATTCCGCCTGCATGTATGCCTGCAGGCCTGAAGAGGGCACCAGATCTCATTATAGATGGTTGTGAACCACCATGTGATTGCTGGGAATTGAACTCAGGACCCCTGGAAGAGCAGTCAGTGCTCTTAACCTCTGAGCCATCTCTCCAGCCCAGGGACAGGTTTAATTAACCAATATTCTTAATTTCCCACTTTGGTGAAACCCCAGTACCAACTTACCCTTGTAACTTCAGAAACTCCCATTTGAATTTAGTGTTATTCAAACAATTGTACCATATTTAATGTGTATGCTCTCCATTTCTAGGATACTTTAGTATACTTTAAATAAAATTTGCATTCAGAAAAGTACCCAATGCATAACAGCACAACATAACACCTTTTTAAAAATAAACATATCATGGCACCAGGTAAGACCCAAATACGATGTTTGGATTGCCTCTTACTTTACACAAATGCAGTTGTATAATGTGTGTGTTCCAATAGTTTCTTATACTCTGCTGTAGAGTTTTAAGATATTCTGTGCTATGTACAGTTCCTTCCTTTTGGCTGTCCAGTGCTGAAATATTCGATAATAACAAAAATTCTTTACTGTACTCTGGACAAGTAACAGTGCTCACAGTTGAGCTACCAAACAGTGCTGCAGTTACACCAGTGTGGGAGTCTCTGTGAACACTAGGGCTGCCAGAGTAACACTTGGGTGAAACAAGAAGGAAATCTGGTTCAGCATGAATCAGGAGTCCCTATTGGTTCAAACATCTAGGTCTGACACTAGGCAGTTTATTTTAGGCATATTTAAGTACAGTACAACCCTCTGTGCACAGTGGCACAGTTACAAGGAATCTCTTCTCAAAGTGCATGTCCATGAGATGGGCTGTAGAGATAGGTGACATGTGTTATCTCACAGGCCTAGGGGAGGATCTGGTGTGGTCTTGGTCATACAGATAGGATATAGGTCACCCGGGCTTACAGCCACCTCTGGTCCTGGTTGGGGGAGCTTGGGGGAGCCCTTGGCTATACAGATAACACAAAGGTCACCTATACTATGAGGCATTTCCAATTATGGTTGTGGGAGCTTTTAGGTAGCCAGGTATGGCTTGGCCCCACATATAGCTGGGGGAAAGGTAAGGGTGTTAGACACCTCCACTCCTAGCCTTGTGGACAGAACAGTTTATACATCTCTAACTTTGAAAAGCAACCCTGCCTGTTTAGTATTCCTGTTTCCCTAGTGCTGTCTGTGAGCACAAGGACCTTTATGTTCCCAGTGTATCTGTATACTACAGTGGTTCTCAACCTGTGAGTTGTGACCCCTTTGTCAGTCAAACAACCCTTTCACAGGGGTTGCCTAAGACCATGGGAAAACAGGGATACTTACATTAAGAGTCAAACCAGTAGCAAAATTACAACTATGGAGTGGCAACGAAAATAATTTTAAGTTTCGGGGTCACCAGCACATGGAGAACTGTATTAAAGGGTCCCAGCATGAGGAAGGCTGAAACTACTGGTATAATATCTGTGAGATTTCAATTAGAATTGTTTAGTTGTAGAGGGTTTTTGATCATATAAGTCTAACCTGACTACATCAGGATAAAAGGGACTTAGAGGAGATCTACCTAATTTGCCTTTGTTATTTTGATGATGGTTTTTTTCAGCTGCACAAATATACTTGTTTTTCCTTCTTTACCATCCAGGCTTTGACTGATTGTCAGAGCGAATTCCGTATTGGGGATGCTGTCTCTATGACTGATTATCTTATGTGGCCTTGGTTTCAACGACTGGAAGCCCTGGAACTCAATGAGTAAGACATTTGAATATTTTATGTGCAACTTGGGATGAGAGTTGTAGTATTTTATACATTTGGAATTTTTGTGAGCTAAGATGAATACTTAACATCACTGGCATGAATGAGAACCAGCAGAGAGGAAAGTCGTGGGTGTGCAGAACCTGTCGTTTTGTGGTATTCATACTCAGGCTGAGACCTGGGGATCAGGAGACATCTCTCTGTGACATGACTGGAGCCTTTTAAAATTTACTCTCTGTGGTTAAAAGTCCACGGGGTGTAGATTTTCTTAAGAGTAGACCACTTCTTATTTTCCACCTACTTGTAAGGTTTCCACATTGCTTTCTATATTCCTTCTTTCAATTTGATGGTTGGACACACTGGCTTACTTAGAAGTCTGTAATATCTTAGAAATCACAGCTATCTGGGGCTACTTCTACTCCCATTTCATATAGAAAATCCATATTTACCATGTAATTGTCCTTCAGTCTCAGTTTGAAGTTCTACTACCTGACCAAGTCACTCACTCTCCCCTAGGTTTCCTCTTTTGTAAAATACACACCTGGATGACAGTATTCAGATCTAAAGCCTACTGTTTTCATTTGAAATGTTTTTAAGACACGTTTTAAAAGTTTAGGAGGATAAACTGCAGTGGTAATTTGATACTCTGGGATGGATGCCCATCTCACTCATCTAGTTCACATCTCTCATCTTGTCTCCCCACAGGTGTGTGGCCCACACTCCAAAACTGAAGGGCTGGATGGCTGCCATGCAGAAAGACCCCACAGTATCATCGCACTTAATTGATGCCAAGACCTATCGTGGTTTCGTAAATCTCTACCTACAGGACAACCCTGAGGCCTGTGACTATGGGCTCTGAAGGGCAAGATTCCTCAGAATTCATGGCCATCATGGGTATACCTACACAATAAAGACAGACAATGCTACAGCATATGTCTCTAAGAAAATGAAACAGTGTTTTTGCTTATTATAATATAAAGCATATTACAGGTATACCACACAATCCTACAGTGCATGCATTTATAGAAAGATCAAATAGAACTTTAAAGGATTTGTTAAATAAGAAAGGGATGAAAAAGAACCCTACATGTAGATTTCACAGTGCTTTACTAACTTTGTATTATTTGAATGCTAATTAGAAAGGAACAGTTGCAGAGAGACATTGGATAATAGAAAAACCTGCGGAATTAAATCAGCTGGTTTACTTCAAAGGTGTGTTGACCTCTGAGTGGAAACCAGGACATGGTATTATGTTGTTTTGTTTCCACAAGGGAAGAACTGCTATGGATTTGTAGAGACAGGATTGCCATTTCAGTCTGAGGTAGAGGTGAGAGCTAGTGGCTTGACTGTTTTGCTTTTTTGATTTTCAGCTTGAAGCTTGAACCCCAATATCTGTCTCTGGGTTTTTATTACTCATATTACAAGACAGTTACCTTTTAACCGTAGAAGGTTTGGCATTCCCCTCTCTCCAACAGCCAAAATATTTATTTATTCATTTCTGGCATTTCAAGTACTTGTTGATGACATCCTTGGCCTGAGATTCTTTGCCATAGTTCTTAACTGCTGCACTATTGCAACCAACTATGTAGTTTTCTCTCTTCACCAAATGTTACAGAGGCCTATCCATTCTCATGGTTTCTTGTCATCAACCTTAATACATTGATTTGGTGCTCAGCACAGAGTTCCCCACGAACTTATACACCAGGCTCATCACTATTGGATGCAAGGCCACAAAGATGGGCTTACTGCTCATATAAGACAGCTTCACATAGGCCACATGCTAGGCTATGGTGGATGAGGGCGGTTTTCCGCACCTCTTGAAAAGCAGTATCACCCCCAGCAGCAATGCCTTCCTTGGCCATGGGTGGTAGATTATGGGCTGATGGAGGATGTCCTTCTGTATATATGTTTCTGTTATCCATTGATGAATAAAACACTGTTTGGTCAATGGAGGCAGGAAGATAGGCAGGACTAGGAGACGGAGAGAATTCTGGGAAAGGTAGGCAGAAGAGCCTACCTTTGGCCATGTAGCTCCAAAGGACTAACAGATGTGGCCATTCACCAGTTAGCCAAGACCACATGGAAATACATAGATTTATAGAAATGGGTTAATAATTAAAACAGAGTTAGGCAATAGGAAGCCCTATCCGTCAGCCAACATTTTAATAATTAATATTAGTCTTTGTGTGCTTATTTGGGGCCAAAGTGGGTGAGGACATGGCAGGACAAGAAAAGTCCAGCAACAATGGGACTTGGCACTGACAGGGAAATGGTATTTTTCTTTAATAAAGAATCAATTTTCCGCCGGGCGTTGGTGGCGCGTGCCTTTAATCCCAGCACTCGGGGAGGCAGAGACAGGCAAATCTCTGTGAGTTCAATCCCAGCCTGGTCTATAAGAGCTAGTTCCAGCACAGCCTCCAAAGCCACAGAGAAACCCTGTCTCGGAAAAAAAAAAAGAATCAGTTTTCCTAGTCATGCATGGTAGCATATGCCTTTAATCCTAGCACTCTGTGAGACAGACACAGATGGATCTCTATGAGTTCAAAACCTGATTGTTCTCAACAGTGAGTACTAGGATAGATATGTAGAGAGACACTGTTTCAAAAAGGAAAAAATCACTTTGTTCAAATGTGTTACAGAATAACATATAGTTAAATATTGATGCCATGAGGACCAGTCCCCAGCAGCTTAGGGTTTGAGGAGGAGCCTACAGAGTTGCTGGATTATCAATCAACTTGACTTTCCTATCTGAGGGAGTAAAACTTAACACTCTGGGGCCAGAAAGGGGGTTAAACTTAACTCTCTGGGACCAGGGAAAACACACAGACACAGACCCTCTTAGGGTCTTTCTCAGTCTCTCTCTCTCTCTCTCTCTCTCTCTCTCTCTCTCTCTCCCTTCCCTCTGCCTCTCTCTTCTTGAAACTTAACACTCTGGGGCCAGAAAGGGGGTTAAACTTAACTCTCTGGGACCAGGGAAAACACACAGACACAGACCCTCTTAGGGTCTTTCTCAGTTTCTCTCTCTCTCTCTCTCTCTCTCTCTGTCTCTCTCTCTTTCTGTCTCTCCTCTCTCTCTTCCTCTCTCCTTCTCCCTCTTCTTTATTTTTCCTTTTCATCTTATATATCTGAGAAAACCTTTGAAAAGTATAAAAATTACAATATGGTTACATTGTGTTTTTCAAGTGAATGATTATAATGAATACAGGTAAAAAAAAAATCCCATTTCCCTCACATAATTAAACATTCTATGTGCTATAGAAAAAAGAACAAATTATCCCAAGAGCCCACATACATTCGTATCCAAGCAAACTAGTTATAGGTTAACAGAGTGTAAGCAATAAAGGTATTTTTCTCAGTGAATTCTTTTACTGACAGGCTGCATTTTGAGGTTAGAAAGAAAGATGAATTCCTTAATGCAAAGGGCAATCTTATAAGCAATCTTAAAGTAATCACAAACGGAAATTTTGATACCTGAAAAAAGAAGCTGTCATGTCTACTTTGAATCTTCACGGTGCACACGCATTTGTCCACAGTTTTTTATATCAGGAAACTGAGGGCAAAAATGGGCACAAGGAATTAATCATCATACTTGCTCTCCAATCAATCCCAGCATTGAAGGCTTGTCAGCCAGTAAGAATGGGGCTGCTTTGTTCTTGTTCTGTGACCTCAATGAGTGCCTCACTCCACTATGTGTCTTTCTAAAACTTGAGATTGTTTTCCTAGGGTTTTGTTCTTCAGAGTTATTATCAAACTTATCTTATCTTCGCCTAACCTTAGATCATATTAAAGCTTTGTTTTAGTCATGGTGCATTCTGAAACCTGCCAATACATCCCCATCATTAAGATTAAAAGAACTTGAACTGGCTGGGTTTCTGTGACTCAGCTGTTTCTCTTAACCATTATTACCCTAAGCCACAGTGTACATGGCTCCCCAGGAGAACCTCATGTCTTCTAGCTGTGTGACACTTCTTGCTTTACTTCTTATCCTCTGAAGCTCTGTTTTATCAGGAGTGGGGCAACACCATATCTTGCTTTTAGCCATATTAGATTTCCCACTAAGCTAACTTCAATCATAATCCCTAACTGTATTTATTAAAGAGCCTCAATCATCAAAACCCTATTTAAACTAACGCTATTATTACACAAAAGCATTGCTTCAGATAAACAGTACAGCTTAGGAGGAAATCCTCTTCATAGTCATCTGCAGGTAAAAACACCCAATAGAACAGGAGATTTTCAAGAGGTAATCACATTACCTTGAGGTCAGTGGGGATTGTTCCACACCCATTCACACCATGCCAGATACCAGAGAAACGGTCAAAGGCAAACTTGGGAAGGCACAGAGGTAGCAAGAGACATGCTGGGGCAAAGCTCTTGGGGCCTTGCCTATCCGAGATTCAGCCATCAGAGATTTCCTTCCTTGTGGGCTGACCCCCTGAAGCCTATTGACACTTGCTGCTCCTCTGACATGGCCACTGGCAGTGAAAAAGTCATAGAAAGTTCACAGCACACAGCAGAGTCTGTCTGTTCCCTGCCCCTCTTTGTCCTGTGTCACAGCAGAACCACTGTCGAGAGCCATCTTCCAGCTCTGTGAGCAGAGGTGGCCGCAATCCTTGACTCATCCTGCACACATGGACTGGTCCTCCCATCACTTCCTTCCCATTGGAAGGACGCTTTACACTAAAGTCTGTAGATAGCTGTTTTTGCTTTCTAATTCTACTGCATATACACGGGCCACAGTAGCCAATGTGTGTTTCGTTTTGCATGTCTTAAATTTAATCCACAGTCAGGACACATCTACTGCTCTGCCTTGCTTTATGACTCAGTCATGGTTCTGCGGCAGACTTGAGATGGTAGCTTGGCCTGTAGTTTATTGATTCCTATTACATACATAAACCAGTTAATCCATTCTCCTCTCTGATTAACTTAAGTTCCTTTATTTATTTATATACCATTTATTCCTGCCTAGCTTCTTACTGTGAAGATATTTTTTTCTTCATAGAGCTGCCTCTGGCTTTGACACCTTACTCACTCAAGCATTTAGCCAGTATCTTTCCATAGAATCTCTTTGGTGGAGTCCATTCTCCCTGCTAGGGACAGTCATAGAATTAATTAAATCAAACAGAAAGTTTATCAACTGGAGCCTTGGGTTAGAGGCCCAACTCTGGTCTGAAGAAAACAAATGCATGTAATGGTAAAGCTGTATGAACAGGTTTCAATCAAAATGGCCATTTATGTATTTCATCCCTCCTTCAGGGTACTGATATGAGATTTAGACTTAAATACAGGAAGAATTAGGGGAGTGGATAAGAGGTTTTCACAATTAAACAGTGCTCATCAGGCCATGAGTTTGTCCTTTCTGTTCCCACAAGACAACCTTGGAGGAGTCTTTAGTGCTTGTGTGGACAATCTGGTTCCCACAGGATGATGGTTTCTGTGTGTGGGGGGTGATCATCTCTTTGAAGTGGTCTGTCTGCAACACTCTATTATTCTTGGAATCCATGATGTCTTCAGTTCTATAGAAATGACTGGAGCCTGTCTGATACCTTTTCTGATGTCTGGAATATGGTGTTGTAAAAGCTGATAGTCAGATATCTCAGTTACTCTTAATTTGTAAAAAGAAAAATTTTTATTTAAATATCAACTGTAAGACACTTACTGCGACCTTCACCAACCTGAACTTAATCAATCCTGTCCATATGGATTATATATTTTAAAGTATGGAATTATCCATCACGTTTTAGATAAGTCACAGAAGGAAGGATGCTCTATCAAGTGGATAATCTGCACAGTGAAAGTGGGCATTGCTTAGAAGTTAAAAAAAAAACCGAAATCTTGTCCCTGCCATTTTTAATTTTTCAACATCTAGCAATACAGTTAGTTCAAATTAATCTCTTCAAGCTAATTAATGACATTTACGGATACAAAGCATATAGTCCTGTGTCATTTTAG